CCTCCCGGGCCCCAGCGCTACTGTCACGGATGCTTTCTATCTCTCGCCAGAAGTCCCCCATGGCCGCGCTGTCCACAGAGGCCTGCGAATTGGAGCGGCTGAAGGCTGGAGGGTGCAGGGATTCGTTGGACAACATCCTGTTAATTCTCCGGCAGCGGGGAATCGATTTTCTGAGGGAAGAATGATATTGGTGAGGAAATACTGGCGTCTTCATGTAATAAAGTCACAAAAATGAAAAAGATTAAAATCAGTGGAGAAAAGTTAGTGTAGTAGAGAGAGCGGCGTGAGGGAATGGGCTTCACTCAGTGGTGGACCTTCTTTCTTATTCTCTGTACTGCATGAAAACTTTGTGGTTGTATAAAAATTAACATAAAAACATTTGCACAGCTTTCTCACACTCATAAGTTATCTCTACCAGCCAAAACATGTACACGAGACATTATTTCTATACAGTACCCAAGATGCTGATGCAGAAAGATGTAAAAAGTCATCTGCTTATATCCATTAGAGTAGTTACTCTTAAGAAAGAAAAAAAAAAGCTGGGAGGCGGAGGCAGCAGAATCACAAGTTCAAAACCAGCCTGGGGAACTTAGCAAGACCCTGCTTCAAAAGGTGGTTGGGGGTAGGGATAGGCTCAGCATGAAGGCTATGAGTTCAGTTTCCAGTTCCACAGATGATAGATAGATAGATAGAGAAACAGAAAATAAGTTTGGGTGAGGAAGTGGAGAAATTAAGAATATCTGTGCACTGTTGGTGGAAATGTTAAATGGTGCAGTGCCTATGAAAACAGTCTGGTGGCTCCTCAAAAATATTTAAAAAAATAGAATTGCCCCATGACCCAGCAATTCCTCTCTGTGTGTATATTCAAAATAATTACAGCATTATTTACAACAGTCAAAAGACCGAACAACTCAAGTGTCAGAGAAGCAAAATATAGCGCACATACACAGGGATTATTATTCACCCTTGAAGTGGAAGGACATTTTGACAAGTGGGTCAGTACGGATGGAACGCAGAGACAGAATACTAAATGAAGTAGGCCGGTCACAACACAAGAGGCACCGCATGACTGCATGTACGCGAGGGCCTGAGTGCAGTCAAGTTTAAAGACAGGAAGTAGAGTGGTGATTGTCAGGGGAGGGAGGAGGGGAAATGGGGAATTAGTGTGATGAGGACAGAGTCCCGGATTCACACAAGAAAAAGACTGGAAGAGGGGCGCTTGGGCTGGCTGTGCAGTGTTACACACATGCATAATGTCACTGACCTTTTCACCTAATAACGGCTAAGGTGCCCAATTTTATGCCATGTCCACTTCTTAAGATGTTTAAAAATTCAAAAAAAAAACCCAAACAAATACATTTTACAAAATTAGGTGCTGAGGTTATGAGACAGGTAGAGGAAAGAGCCCATAACGTCAAGAGAAAAACACATTCGGGTGGGGAAGAGAGCAGTGACCTGGGGCACGGAGACCTTTGGTTGGTTTGGGGTCAGGAGTGGCCCCGATACAGGGCCTGACCAGCAGGAAGGGCAGGGAGGTCCTGTGGCCACTTACTGCCCGGCCACCCTGGTCCTTCACACACAGTGCGGGGCCCCCACCGGGATGGATCCATTAGCAGGACTGCACGCAAAGCACTCAGAACTCAAAAATATCCAACAATGTTGGTTTTGATTTTATTTATTTATTTATTGATTGATTGATTGATTGGTACCGGGGATTGAACTTGGGTCCTTGCACTTGCAAGGCAGGCCATTGAAAAGCTGAGTTAAATCCCCGGCCCCAACAATGTTTGTTTTTAAAGCAAGAGGCACAGCAGGTAGATGGATGCCGAAATGTAGGAATTTTAAGTGATTATGTTTTACATAAAAATGAAATAAATGTTTGAATTTTCCGGTACATGACTGACAAATACTGCATTTCTTGGAGCAGAATGCTTAAATGATTGCAACACTTTCGTTCTAACCTTGAAGACCGAGTTACTTTAGGCACTAAAATGTTTTTGGGTAGCCGTTTATATCTGAAATGTCCCCAAGAGGCTTTTGGCCCCAGGCGATGGTGGTATTGAGGGGGTGAGCTGTTTGGAATTAGGCCTTTTAGGAACCCTGGATGCTCCTTCTTCTTTGGTTTCTGGCTACCATGTTCACAGCCCTTCCCACCGTCCATGTCCCCACCACGATGTACAGGCGCAAAGAAAGCACCAGGCCCAAGAGATCATGAACCATGACCTCTGAAACCATGAACCGAGATAAACTGGCCCTTCTTGTAAATTGACTGCCTCAGGAATTTTGAGACTGTAATGGAAAGTTGATGGACATGTTGTTCTTATATGATTTGTTTTCTGCTTTTATCGTCTTCAAAGTTGGTGTGTGTCAGTCAGCTTTCCTGTTGCTAGGAGAATATACCAGATGCACGTAACTGTGTAATTGTTCCAGAGGTTCCTTAACAGAGGAAACACTTACTTTTGCTCTTGGCTCCAGAGCTTTAGTCTGTGGTTTGCAGACTCCAAGGGAGAAACATCATGTTGGGGATGTGTGGCTGAGGAAGCTGCTTACCTCATGGCAACCAGGAAGCAGAGAGGGGGAAAGAGCCAAAGAGGAAGAGAAACAGGCAAGACAGAGTCGCCAGCCTTCGCCCATTCACTTCAACTCAGGCCTATTTCTGTTTCAGTCACCCCAAAATGCCATCGAATTATGCCTCACAATCCAGTCCCTTCCCCAAAGGCCAACAACAACCAAGTCTTCAGCACAATGAGGCCTTCTGGGGGACCTACTGGACCCAGCCACCACAGTTTGCAGCTTTTGTCAAAGAATCCCTCTGAACTTTCCTTCTTATCCATGCGTAGAGGAGGAATTAAACTAACGAGCCTGTGGTCTGAGCGGCATTACCTGAAAGAGTACCCCTGAGGTGGAAAGAGGTGCTGAGAACAAAGGTGTGGCAAGGTCCAACCGTGACTCATGTGAGACAGTTAAATTTGGACGTGCTGGGCAGCAGTGTATCCTTAGCAAATCCAGCTGTGGCGTGTGACGTGCGTGACTCACACTGATATGAACGAGATTACAAAGAGAGAGGGGAAATGGAGTTTCCGTAAATAAGGACCCCCAAAATTCCATGTTTAATATCTCCATACCTGTAGGAATCCTTTCAGACATCTAACTCACTTTTGGAGAAAACTATGGAATGAAACCATTGATCCTTTTACAGTACTGATTGGAAGTCATTCGAGTTGTGACATTAACTGACAGTAACATAGTTGGCTTATTTACTTTAAATCAGAACATTTCAGAAAGATGTGAAATATGTACTTTCTCATGTGTTCTATGATGAGAGTTCCAGGTAGCTTTGTCCGATAAAGTGGTGGTAAGAGGTTTTTGCTGAATTATTTGTAGTTGCACCAGGCAGATCCATTCTAAGTGTCTGAGCTAAAAATGAGATCAACGGATAAGATGATTACTGCTTCTTTACTTGTATGCTAAGGCTTTCAAGAGCTCTTTCTTTTTTCCACAAGACAAGAATCAGAAGTGTATGGCTATCTAAAATTTTCTATAGTTCTGTATTTTGCAGATTAATTTTTTTAAATGAATATGCAGGGCTGGGGTTGTGACTCAGGGGTAGAGCTACATGTGCTAGGTCCTGGTTGGATCCCTCACATGGTAAATAAATAAATAACCCCCCAAGATATAATGCAATAGAGTACACATGAAAATGTGTAATGTGTAAATATTTAAACAAAATGCAGTTGAAGAAAGCAACAATGTAAGTTCCTCTCCCAAATGCATCATATCACTGCTCCATAAACGGCTTTGTACTGTTGTGGACATTTTTCTACACTACCTCCATGGCTGCATAGTGTGTAATTTATTTTAAAAAATCAGGCAGACATGCCAACATTCCCAATCCCTGTTCAGCAAAGGGACAAATCTGGGAAACAGCGAGTGAGTGACAGAAGACGGGAGAAGGTACCTTTAGGGCTAATCCGATCATCCCAGTTACATTTCAGTTGCTCCCTCAAGCACAGGGCCAACTGATAGCATCGCAGGGAACAGATCCTCACAGAACCCGGCCAGGGCCAAGACAGCAGATGTTCGGCATTCGCTTACGACCTGCCGCATAACTCCTGGCTTTCACACGAGGCAATCCAACCAAAGAATCCTTTAATTGCAATGATCAACATTTCTTGGCAGAGAAGTCAGACAGCATTTTTGGGACAGACACCCTTGGAAGGGCTTTCACTTTCTTACTTAGGATGCAGATATTTCTCCTCGTTCCAGGGCAGAGTAGAGACCATGACCTTCCACTCGGGCCCCGAGTTACGTAAGGCTGGTTCCCAGGCCCACCGATGGTCCGACAGGCGCCCGTCTGCAGCTTCATTCCTCACCATATTAGGAGAAATTCTAGCCTCCAACAACAGCCAGCCCTCCAACAGCTGTTTGTATTATTTTATTCCCAAACAATACTAGGAAAATGGTACATTAAAACAGAATGCAGTTGTGTCACTCAGGGAGTTTTCCTAGGGGAACATCGCTGGATGGAAAAGTAGGTTGTAAGTGTATGGAGCTTTCTAGATATTCAAAGTGGCACTTGAAAAATAACCAGGGAAGATTTTATCATTCCGTATCTTACCCATACTGCACTAATATTTTACAACTCCCAGCTGTGTAAATACCTCACAGAGGGCAAGTCTCCGTCTATCCTTTGTTTACTTGATTTTCCTTCCTCACCTGTTTACATCCCCCAGTAGTTATTATTGGTGATTTTAAATAGTCAATATTTTTTTAAAAACTGAGATACTCTGTTATATTGATCCTTACCGTGGTTCTTCATTCTTTCTCGCGCATCTGTGAACCCACCGCAGGTCAGTTCAGCTCAGAGAACTCGCTTTAGCATTTCCTGTCTTGTTATTGCACTGCAGATACGTCAGCTCTCTTTCTCGGTTATGTTTTTAATTTATTTTAATCTTGACAGATATTTTTCCTGGCATGGAACTCTAGTGTTTGTTGGTGCTTTTGTTTCCTAAAGAAGCCATTCCAGTGTCTCGAGAACCCTATCGATTCTGACGCGATTCCCGTTACCACTGATGTTCTAAAGACAGTGTCTTGTTTTCTCTGCGGGTCCTAACAGAGTTTCCTCTTTACCTTTTGTGTGGAGCACTCTGAATATTTTGTGCCTAGATTG